AAAATAAAGCATATTAATAACAAAAAATTGTTCATTTTATTTAAATTAAAAACATATTTAAGTCAAATTTTATTATATTAAAAAAAATTTCTCCATTTTTATTTATCCATCTTCAAATATTTGATTACAAATCCATTTTTCCCTTCTTTATCTGTTCTAAAAGATTTGATGACAAGTCCAGTTTATTTTTGAACTTCGGCTTTGAACTTTTGAACAAATCTAAAAGCTTCCATATTCATATTCATATTCAAAAAGTAAACCCAAGTTTTGCGAGAAATCATCAATGAAAAATAAAGAAATAGTTTGTTTTACTATAAGATGGTTTGATTGGGTATAAAGTGATCTCCCCAATCCATGACTCCTTGTTACTTTACTAAACTACTTTCTTAAAATAAGTGTTTTCTCGGAGGCCTACCACTTCTGAGAGACACCAACTAGATGTCCTTCATTAGTTGTATCTCTTGACCTTGCATCTTAGACCACTAAACAATCCTCACCTATCAATATGTACATGGATAATGAGTTGCTTCTATTTTAATCAATCATTTCGAGTTCGAGTATTGAATATGTAATTGTGTTAAATATTCACATAGAGGTTTTTATCATCTATAATGATCTTTTTTTATTTGAACACAAATATTTTAGATAGAAAACACACATAGTTATAAATAATGACCGATTAAAAAAATTTAAGTGGTGGGGATAATGCTGATATACAAACTTGTAGTAATAAACACATAATTTCACATTGAAATAAAAATATACATTTTAATTATTCTCTACAAGATTTCATATTCTAAAAATATTGAATGATTTTCTCATTTTCAACATCTTTCAAAATTATTTTTCTATATATAAGTAATTAAGCAACCATTTGACCATTCATTTTTCACATTACAACTTTATCTTTTTAAAAACAGTATAATATGAATTTGGATAAACCATAATCTTTTAACTAAGTTTACTTAAATATTAACTATAATTAACATGACACACACACTCATATATGAGTTTACTAATTTACAACTACTTATTTCTTTTCTTAAAAAGAGTAAGGTAGCAAATTACATCTAGGTGTATTTTAAAAAATATTACAATTAGAGTAGAGGATGTATGTTAACAAACCCACATATATTTGATAACTTACATCCACTTATTTTTAAGAAAAAGTAAGTTAGCAAGCTACACTTGATGCATTTTTTTTAAAACAATATACTTCAATTAATATATTGAATTTAACTATTTTTACAAAATAAAATACAAAAGGCAATGGTGTACTTAATTTTTAACATAGTAAGTAGTATATTTTATTATAATATGCATATAAAAAATAATTGACATAAAATATTTAGTGGGGGCATTTGCCCCTACTTCTACCAAGATAGATCCGTCCTTAGTTATAAAACTATGATTCTCACTTAAATCAATATTGTTATTCTTTAATATTTTTTTAAAAGATTATATTTAAGTCTTTTGAGTTAGTTATGACTTTATACTTCATTAATTTTACATAAATATTAACACACCTTTTTATATACTCTTTTTAATTAGAATTTATTTAAAATCACAAAATCAGAAGAGTAATTTAATAGAGTGTGAAACTCATTAATTTTTGCATTCTTCAATAAGTTTTAACTAATTAGAGAGAATGTTAAAAATAGTATGTCAAAGAATGTGTTCCTAGCATTAATTTTAAAGATTTTTTTTAATGCATATTTACCTTTGCACATAAACACTTCAAAATTAATAAATTGAAAAAATTTGAAGAGAATATACACGTAGCTAGTACAGATATTTGGCTATACTAGGTGTTTTCCTCATCATGATTGTGTTTGAATAGTTATTAACACCCATTGCCAAAGCATCCAAACAGAAAAGCATGTCTCTAAGAAGATATTGAAGTGGATGGATGTTAGAAGTGGCGAAACTTAAAACTAAACATGCACTATATATATCTAGGCTAAGTTTCTAATTATTTAATATGCGTGCACATATACCTAGATGTAACTCCATAAGCTAAAAGGAAATCATTTGAGTTACATATCAGTTGAAGCGCATGGTATCATTATGCCTCAAAGTCTATGAACATATTCAGCTGTTGTACATTCAGAATAGTAGAAAGTATGCAGAGTTGTATAAGTAGTTTTTGTACAAAGCATGGTGTCCTTCTTTCTACATATACAGAAAAGTAGTAAACAATAAAGGGAAAGCCAAAAAGGTTGACACTCTATAAACAACCAAGTTTGGAATTTTGGACCATGCAGCTATACTAAGTTAAGTTATTGTATAAAGAATCATCATAAAGGAGGAACAAGTGAGTTTGACACGCGTGCATGCGTTTATCTCATCAAAGAACTTCCTACATATATTCAAAAGAGAAATGTTTTATTTATTTTCGTATAGTTTAACAAGAAAAAAGACCGAAAACAAGTACAAATGGACATAATTTAGTGTTGTTACATCAGCTAACATAAGTGATGAGAGAATGAGAATGAGTTTGTGTGGGCACTGACAAGAGCACACGCTGACAGGAAGCGTGTTTGAGAAGTTACTAAATATGTGTAGAATAGAATAGCATGCATGAGACACAATCATCTACTTGCTCCATCTTCACCTCCCATACTTGCCGTATATTTTCCTCTTCCAAATGTTTCTCAAAAAATACCATTTTCTTTGCCACCTTCTGCACCCGCCATATCATATTACGAGTAAGGGCATCACCATTCCCTTGCAAATTCAACTTATTCAAATCAACTTAATTATAATTTTATAATTTGAGTTGGTTCAAGTAATTTTTACTTACTTGATTATAATAGGATTGAATGATTATAAGGAATTTGTTTTCTTTTAAGAACTTGAACTAATTCGACATAATTTAACTTATTATGATTTTTAAATTAAATTTAAAATATTATGGACAACACAACATATAATACACTTCTTTGTATATATATAATTCTACTTTTTATTATTATTAAATATTAAAGTAATAAGTTGAGCGACTAAATTAAAAAAGATATAAAGTAAGAATAATCTAATTCTACTTGATATGTAATTCAAATTTTTTTAGTTATAATGACATAATATTTGCTTGTTGAGATATTTTTAGTTTCTTGTGTATGATTGTTATAATGTTACCAGTACTTTAAATAAAGTATTAAAATTTGGATTAAGTATATTTTTTTTATTTATTTATTTGTTTCAATTTTTCAAATATATTTATTTTTTAATTGCTCAACTTGATGACTCAACTCAATTATAGTCGGGTTGGTTTGGGTTGGGTCACTTAAAAAAATTTCACAAAACTGACTCAACTAAATTTAATTGGGTTAAACAATGAAACAATTTAAAGTCGACCTGATCTAACCCATTTACACTCTTATATAATAGTTTCAAATTAAGACTAATTTTATTCGATATATTAATATACTAGAAGGATCTTGGAGTGACCAATGAGAACAGATAATACATAAATCAAGTCTGTAAGTTTTTTAAAATTTTAAAAATTATTTAATATTTTATTTCATTAATTCAAATTGATAGATAGTTATAAAAATATTTTATATGTTAACTTGAATTAATGAGATTTTGTATCAAATAATTTTTAAATTTTTTAAAAATTTACATACTTGATCTATATATTATGAACTTTTAATTTAACCTTTGAATCGTTGAAACTTATTATTGAGTAGAATAAATCTAGGTAAATTTACTGTTGGAGAAAATAGATTCTTCTTTATATATAGACAAATATTACATGAAAAATAGAGAAAAACACTTGTTAAAAATGAAAAGAGATATAAAAAAAATCAAAATATAAAAAGAAACTAACTAATAAAAGAAAGAAAAAAGGTAACAAAATAAAAATTAAGGATAGTGAACTCAAATTATAAATTTAGAAAGGACAAAAAAAATCATAACTCAATACATATACATATATTATTTTTAAAAGAACCCCTCGATTGTATATGAGTCTATCACTAGTGATAGTGACACCATATCATTTTGTAGAACTTAACCAAAATTCTATCCAAATTTAAAGAATGTGTTGCTAATTATCCTCCTAGAGTTAAAAGCAATTTATGTTATCGAGAAAAACTAGTGGATATAATATTTACTTACATTGCCAATTATTGAGGTCATTAGTTAAGCTAACGAAGTACATTTGATATGATCAGTACGTAGTTTAATTGGATGAATATGTCGTAAGTTGCATGAAGAATGTATAATAAAATAAATTGCTTGGAAAAGATACCATGCAAAACACATGTATTGCAGGCATTGTGACCAGTGGAAACGTACCCTGTTAAAGCAAATCAACCAAAAAGATGTTTAAAACGCTTTAGTTAGAAACAGGTATTGATATAATGTAACGTAGGTTGTGCTATGATTTACTCCAATAATGGTGGTCTAGGGATGCGAAGGCGTGCATCGACTTTGCTTATCATTGAGAAGACGAAGATGTCTAATAAAAGCAAAACAAAGTAACCCACCTTTTCCCACAAATACAAAGTGAAAATGAATGTTGAGTTGTCTAAATCTTTGTCTTTTCACAGTGCCTTATTTTTTTCAACTCTTAAAAATCTGGGTGCTTTGTGACTAGACTAATATAATCAATTTAGTAAATTTAATATAAGAAATTCAATAAGTTGATCCGATCATGTGAAAAGGACTAGAGTAAACGAATATCTAAAGACATTGGAAAAACCAATAAAAAGACAATGATCGAGAGGGTTTTACCGGAAATTAATTTTGTTTTCGATAACCCAATAACGTCAACTGATTCATATATAGCAGATCTCAAATGATGGAATATGAATTGTTACTGATGACTTCTTATTGAATTACTAGTGATAGCTGAATGCTATTTTGTAGTCTGAGTTTCTACCATATGATTTTTAATAGTAAGAAGCAAATGATTAGAACATGTTACTCTAAAATAAAAATAAAAAAGTAATAAAATCATTCAAATTTATGGAAAATGAGTAGAACGGAAAAGGAGGTGGCTGATTGTGGTGGGGTTTAATATAGAGCATGTGTGTCTTCTATTCTCAGTCAATGGTATGATTTGTAACAGAAAATGTTTAACAGTAAAGAATAAGATGGATAAAAATTAAAAACAAAGTGGGAGAAAAGGGTATACTGAAGCCTTCCCTACCATTGTGGTCATGTTGAATAATCACTTCCCAACACCTTATTATCACCAACTCACGCTAGAGGAATCATGAAAGCTGACAAATAGAATAGAACCTGCATAACCTTTTTGAAACTTTCCTCTAAAAAATTAAATCCTCCAAAGAGAGTCTCACTCTTTTAAAAGGGGTTCCCTTCCATTCTACCTCAATCCTCCGCTTCTATTCACTCCCCTGAAGATGGCCAACTCAATCACCTTGTTTATGCTGTGGTTGAGTGTAATATCTACTGTCCACCATGTGAAGCTTATAGCACATGGAAGTACTGGGGGAGAATCAACCAGGTTCTATGATTTCAAGGTATAATTCACTCTTAAAGTGCACATTATAACACATTACTTTCCAGTGGAATGCATTGCTCTCTAATGCCTTTTATTCTATTTTTTGATGCTCTTAATGGTAACTGTACAGGTTCAAACTAAAAGAGTTACCAAACTTTGCAACTCCAAAGACATTGTTACGATCAATGGTATGTTTCCAGGACCTGTTGTTTATGCCCAAGAGGATGATAGAATCATAGTAAAAGTGACCAATAAGACACCTTTCAATGTTACAATTCACTGGTAATCCCAATGACAACCTCCTACATAACACAGTTCACTTAGTTAACGATACTATTATAGCTGACAATCTTTAATTTTAAATTTTAGGCATGGAGTCCGGCAAAGGCTATCATGCTGGTATGATGGAGCATCCACGATTACACAATGTCCAATTCAATCAGGCCAAAGTTTCACCTATAATTTTTCAGTGGTGCAGCAGAAGGGCACCTTCTTTTGGCATGCTCATGTTTCTTGGTTACGAGGAACGGTTTATGGTGCCATGATTGTTTATCCAAAGACCGGGGTACCTTACCCATTTAAGTTCCCTTATCAAGAGCACATAATCATACTAGGTAACATGGTAACCCCCTTTGGTTTTGAATTTATACTATGTAGTTTGTGGGTTGATTTGGAATTTTGAAATATGGCAGGGGAGTATTGGATGAAGGATCTCCAAAAAATTGAGTATGACACTCTAGCAAGTGGAGGACCTCCTCCTATAGCAGATGCATATACCATCAACGGTCATCCAGGACCCAACTACAACTGCTCCACTAATGGTATTTTTATTTTTGATAAGAATTGCAATGATAACAATAAGATTCATATATAATATTTTGTGTATATTACCCTAACCTCCATCATTAGGCCAACCCTAATTGTTCCTATTCATGGTACTTGAGATAACAAAAGATAACTAACAAAGTAATTGTGATAATGGTGATTCACATTTAATGGAATTGCTTAAAATTGTCTGTTGTTAGGATCATTATTTATGAAAGATATTTCCATTAGACAAAGCGAATAAAAAAAGATCTAAATTAAGTGGTGGATGATGGCCACCAACGCTTGTTGACATCATGATAATATCCACGAGGGTACATAAGCATTAATCTCCTAAACCAGTCTATCACAAATCTATACTATGGTAATTTGAATTTTCTTTATTCCCTTTTCTAACATATTTTGCTTTCTTTCTTCATCATTTTAGATTTCCACCAAGTTGATGTGATTCCCGGGAAAACCTATTTGTTAAGACTGATTAATGCGGGTTTGAACACTGAGAACTTCTTTGCCATTGCTGATCACAAATTAACAATAGTGGAAGCTGATGCTGAATACACAAAACCATTCACCACAGACACAGTGATGATTGGACCAGGTCAAACACTGAATGTCCTTGTCTCTGCTGATAAGCCAGTAGGAAAATACTCCATGGCTGCAGCACCTTACAAGTCTGGAAGGTTTGTCCTATATCAAAACGTTTCGGCTATAGCCTTCTTTAACTATATAGGGGCTCCATCTAATAGCTTATATACACCAGCTAAATTGCCTAAACTTGATGATAAACTCGTTGTTAAGACAGTCATGGATGGGTTAAGGAGCCTAAATCAAGTCAATGTTTTTAGAGAAATTGATGAAAATCTATTCATTACCATTGGATTGAATGTTCAAAAGTGTCACTCAAAGACACCAAAGCAAAATTGCCAAGCCCAAGATGGGGTGTTGGCAGCTTCAATGAACAATATAAGTTTTGTTAATCCCAATATTTCAATCCTGGAAGCATATTATAAGAAGATAAAAGGAATATATACTGAAGATTTCCCAGACATGCCCCCGAAGTTCTATGACTTTGTTAATGGTGCCCCTAACAATATTACGTACGACACGCAGTCATTGAATGGTACTAAAACAAAGGTCCTTAAATATGGTAGCAAGGTGCAACTAATTCTGCAGGACACAGGGATAGTCAACCCTGAAAACCACCCAATGCACTTCCACGGCCACAGCTTTTATGTGGTAGGGTATGGCACAGGCAACTATAACCCACTAATTGCACAATTCAATTTAGTGGATCCTCCATACATGAACACAATTGGAGTTCCAGTGGGTGGATGGGCAGCAATTCGCTTTGTTGCCGATAATCCAGGTATAAACCCTAAAGCTGTATTTATTTTCTCTATTGTTTTATTGAAACAGCAAGGAATTATTGATCTCTCTCTCTGTCTGTCAATTGAATTATTGATTTCTTGTCATGAAACATTTTTGCAGGGGTGTGGTATATGCACTGTCACATTGATATACACAAGTCATGGGGACTAGGAGTGGTATTTATAGTGCACAATGGAAAAGGAGAGCTGGAATCCTTACCACATCCTCCACCAGACCTGCCACAATGTTAAGACTACCAGCAGATCATAACAAATAGAACTAGCAGATGATTTTGAGCCATTTTACCCGTTCAAGCATTCGTTAGTTTCATGTTTGTAACTGTAAAATGTGGCATTGGCATTTCTTTTAAAAGCCAAAAATTGTGGATGTAAAGAAGCAAAATGACTAGCATGTTTGGTAAAGGTTAAAGTTGGAGAAATAATTGCTTATTTTTTAAATCTTTGTTAGAAGGCTGGCAAAAATAAGCAATTATTTCTCTAAAATAAGTTGAACCAAATATGCACCTTAAATGCAAATTTCATTCTCTATAGTCTGATTTATTTATGCTAATCCATCAAAATTCTGAAATAATCTAAAATATATTAATAATTGAAAAAATAGTGATAAATAGTGACTACAATTTTCTCCAAGGTTTTCATCTCAATACTGATTCTCAGTGACGTGTCCACATAGATAAGATGCTATACACAAGGCTAATTCACATTCAATCTTACTGGGTTTATATATAATAAGCACAATCTTCAAGGAGCAGCATGAAAGCTAATCAAGTGACAATTGTATAACAAATATCTGACTAACACGTTCCCTGTCAATCCTCTCTCCCATACTCTCATGTCATGCAATTTGCTGGTTGCAGTGATACCTGGACACGACACTGACAGAGAACAGATTATGGGTTGACCCTCTCCACAATCCAACTTTTCTTTGCTGCAGCACTCCCACTTGATTTGAATGTTAACCTCTGGTTACTCTTCAGATTCAAGTAATCAACCTGTAAATGGTTGAAACCGAAGTGAATATGCAGATGCAAAACATATATATATATATATATGTATATGTTTGTGCATGTGTGTGTGTGTTAGACTGTGAGAGATATCGCTACCTGATTTGGTTCCAGGATCAGTAGACAAAAAGCACCAACTGGACCTGTAGAAGGATCTAATGATATTTCTGGCTGTGCCTGCTCATTTAGACAGGGAAGCCCTGGATTTGGCCACAAATATTGCATCCTTGATCTCAATGAACTGGAAAACCAGGAATTTTCTCTTTGCTGCATTATGAATTGATAAACTGAGGGGAAATATTATAGCAATCAACAGCGTCTAAAATTTAAAAATAGGAAAGCTTTGTTATATAACCTGCAAAAGTATTTATGCTTTAGTGATGAACTGGCTCCTTTAATGGCATTGTTCAATGTAGTTGTCAGTTTATAGTTTTCAGTTTTCAAAGGTAAATTTCAAAACAATATATATTTGGCTAAAATGAAGCTAAATAGTTTTTAAACTCAATTTTGTAATAATTTTAGCTCAGTTTTTTTATTAAAAATAATAGTAGTTTTGGTTTTTAGTTGATAAAACAAATTATTCATGTTCACCATCTCTTCAAAAAAAACCTCACAGGCTATCGCTAGTCTGCCCCCAACCACCATTGCCTTTGCTACTGTCACACCATCAACATCACTACTTCTGCCCTCCCCCAAACTGCTGCCACAGTTGACTGGTTGGGGAATCAATGAATTATAAACTATAAAGAAATTTGTATTAAAAGAGAGGCGAGTGAATGAGGAAGTGGAGTGATTTCCAATATTTGGATTTAAAATTTGAAAATTGAAAACTACAATAATTGAAACTATAATTATAAAATTGAAACTTAGTTTTAGTTTTTAAAAATTTTATAACTTCAAACTTACAACCAAACAGAACAAGGCATTAGAGTTTTGTTTTGGTTTTCATGATTTGATAAGGGAGAATAAACTTTCTTGATTTTGCAGGGTGCAACGCCTATACAAATAGTGTAAAACTTAGTCCCACTTTGGTAGCAAATGTGTCATCTTGTCCATAAGGGTGCCCTCCAAGCTACAACTGCAAGTAGCTTAAGCACTTTTGGTCATGTGGTAGGTCTGTTTGAGTCAGTCATGGAAATCTCAAGGAGGAACTAGATTGATGTAACTTCTCCTTCAAAATTTTTCCTAGATCTTTGGCTTCTTGACACTTCTTAAGCTTCAAAGAGCTCTCCAATGGAGTTGAAGAACTTGTGATTCACCTTCAATGGTGAAGAACTCTCTTCAAGTGGTGTCATTTCAAGGAAGAAGATAAAACACTTAAAATCTCACTACACTCTTAGGGAAAGGATAAGAGAATTAGAAGCAAATCAAAGAGAGATTTAAGCTTTTGAGATTTCTCATATATATGCCTAATATATTATATTTCTGAGGAAAATCATAAGTAGTTGGTTTTTTGCTACATTCAATCTTCCCTTACCCCATTATCTTTATCTCAACTTACCCTTAAATCACTAGAGATGGTTCAAATTGCTTTCACAGAACAAGTTGTTGACAAACTTATCTCCTTTAGTATAAAGAACAATGCATTATCATGTCTCAGTCAGTGAAAGAAGCAAATGGCTGTAAGTAAAGACCATGTTTCCCCATATCACAACATTGCATATAAAAACTCATGCAGCAGTTATTCAGAAAGTGCAAACCAAATTTGATCCAATGGATAGATCACAAAGGGAATAAAAAACTTCACAGGATGTGATTTCAATCATTAATGAAAATCTCCAATCAAACCTGAAGTTTTAGTGGGTCAGGATTCAAACCATCAATGATATCTACATCCCCATTTATCCGAAATTGCTCCCAGGAATCTGTGAAGTACCAACATATCTAACCAAAATAACTAAACTTAGTCTCAATATCTATGCTCCTCATCAGTTTTTTTTATTAAAAAAGTATCTCATGGAATAATTACCTCAGCAGAGGAGCAGAGCTTGAGCTCTTCAATCTACACTATGAATAACACAACAAAGACATCTAATTAAGTGACTTTTCAATGAAAATTTTGAAAAACGCCAACACAAAGTTAGGTAGAATTGATTTGAACCATCGAAGGTAATTAGAATGTATGTCTAAATTAATCTCGCAGCATATTTTACCTACATAGATAACATTTTTTTTTCTCAAAAAAAAAAAAAAAAAACTCGTATAAGCTAATAAATTAAATAAAATGCATATTACGAGGCATAATCGAATTCCCAGCATCAGTGTGATTACATAAATGATTATTGCAAAAAAGAAGAACCTTGCGAGTGCGGGTATCAGTGTTAATTTGGATGTTATCAGTGTTGTCTTGGAATCCCCTGAAAACGCATAACATCCGATGTCGTCAATTTGCCATAAACCCTAAAAAAGAGAGCGAGGGAGGGACAACCTGAAAACGACAGTGCGGTTCGAAGGTGTTCCGTTTGTTCCTATGGTTGCCTGCACGAAACACAAACAAAATAATAAAATAAAATAAAATATAAAAAATGGGAGCAATGAGAATGGTAGATTCATTGACATACGAGTTGCATGAAAGAAGAGTGCTTGAGGTGACTGTTGGATTCCAAAGCGTTCAGAAGAAGCTGCTTCCACGCCACGCTCCCCATTTTCCGATTCTGATGCTTTCGGATATTTTTTCACCGACTTGCAATTTTTATTTTGTTTTGCTTATGTCATATTTTCATATTCAATAGATGACCTAACAACAAAATCCAACAAGGTTGGTAATATAGAAAATAGAAGATTAAATGAGTTTTTTTTCTTCAATTTTGTAGTTTTTAACTAACAAGTCTTTAACATAAGTGAAATATAAGGCCTGAGATTTAGAAGAAAACCTCACTAAGAATGTCTAACTAGATTAATGAAATCGAAGGGTAATTGAAATTGAAAATTCAATGGATAGAATAGAATATAACTTCATTGGATGTGTATCTCGAAAAGAAACTCTCAAGGCAGTTTTAGAATACTTGGTTGATGTATTGTTGTCAACAAATTTTATCTGGTATAGAAGTTTTTGTTTGATAACATTGGATCAACTAAATATTTTAGAAATGTCTTAAAAATATTTTCATTGGGACACATATATATGATGAAACCATGTTTTATCCATTGATTTTCAATTCCAAACTCCCTTGACTTTCAACTAGCAACAAAGTTAAGTTTAAGATTTAGAATTTAGGGTTAAAAATATTATCAACATTAATTTTAACATTGTTCTATTATTATATTGTAATACATATGTATTATTTTTTCCAAGTCATCAAACTAGCATCCTTTTCTTTTGATCTTCTCTCCCTCTATATCATTTAGGATGCCAAAATTACAGTCGTCAAATTTATGAGTTTGACTTGTTAAGTCAATGCATACAAAGAGTGTCAATTTAGATCGACTTAAATTTATTATGTGTAACTATTTTACGATTTGTCCAAATTGATTCATTTTATTTTTCTATTTTTATTTAAGTTTTACAAAGAAAAAATAATACTAGACCACATATGTTTGTATGTTTTGGATATGAAAATTACATATTCAACCTATAGTATGATTGGCTCATCAAACTTAAAAAAGTCGATTTGATTATTTTTATATACCTCTTCTTCTTTTTTTTATTTTTAAGTTTGCTCTAACTCAATTCATCATGTTAGGACATTTTTTATAATCCTAACCAAAACTAACAAACTCTACCACAATGATAGTACAATGAGCCTTTCATAACATAAAGTTAATCTCATGGTCTACTAAACCAAGATCACCCTATTGAGAATATTAATCACAACAACCAATACAACTATTGCATGTATAAGTTAATTATTTTTAGTACAATATAATGAAAATAAGTTTCCATTATATATGTAATCTGGATAACAAAAACTTCTTTTTTGTGTATTTCGTTAATATATGCAACAAAAACTAATATTTATTGAGTTGTAAGAGTGTCTAATGTTTGATATTTTCAACAAAAGCAAGGATTTTTAGATGGTGAGTTTAAATAGTATTTCAAGGGTGTGAATAGCTTGTATTGAAGAGCCCAATTTGATTAAGAGTTTGTTTTTCTCCTAATGTAACAAAGTATATCAATAACTCAAGACTCATTTCATACCCAACTCATTCTCTTAGACCAAATTAAACACCCCAACTCAAATCCAATAAATCCTCACACATTAATATAACTTAACCCAATTAGTACCGAGCTAACCATGACTTGTTATATCATCTTAAAAAACAATACATATTGTTGTTTGAAGATTTTGATTATAATAAGGTAGAATAACAGTTAACAAGATAACAAAAACTAAAACAACACTTATTTAGATAACAGAGAATAGGGACTTGCAGGTTTTGGTGAGTTTTATTTCAAATGTTATGTATATGATGTGATTCCTTCAATTGAACGGTTCATGAGTTCTAAAGGGAAGAATATGAATTGTCTCTTTTTTTTTGTTTTATCTTCCCTTCCTTTTCTACATGACAAATCTCCTTGTTTTAATTGTATGGTTTTTGTTTGTATAAGTACCAGATCCACCACTTTTGCAGCCAAGACTATTGATCACCAAAAGCATGTAAAAAAAATTTCACATAAAAAACTGATTAGTCTTTTGATGTAAAAAATGTTTTCATGCTTTCTTAGCGAGGGTATGTAATGTATCAGGCTCATTGATCTTGACACTTTCTTATAGCTCTTTGTCAACAAATTAATGACTTTAAAATGTGGATGTCATCTTCTGACTGAATTGGCACAATGTTTCATTTAATTACCCAATTATGGAGTTAATGATGGCTATGCTTCTCAACATGGAATTATTAAGGATGCTTGGGTATGCTTTTTATTAAGAGTAATTCGAATTCTCTTATATTGGTTGTCAAACTATTTGCTAATATCCCCTCATTTTTATTACTCCTTGTTCCTAGGCTGCATTGGATCATCTTTCTCAAAGGATTGATATTGGCACATCTAGAAGAGTTGTATTTGGACGATCACTTGGTGGCGCAGTTAGAGCTATACTAACTAAAAATAACCCTAACAAGGTACCCCTGGACCTTGGTAAACTATATAATGTTAATGTTTATGTCGTTCTTGGCAAAAATCTAATAATTTTGGATTTCAGTTGTCACCATGGACTATAGCATTCTATATTTCAGTTGCCTAAAGATAAACGTTTCCTAGTACTAATATTTTTTTTAAGTTACTATCCAAACAATAAGGATCCCTTTCTTATATGTAACCTTATAAAAAGACAGACTTATATATTGGGGAAATGAACGAAGAAACTATTAGTCTAGGAAGGGCTTTGTATAGAGTTTGTTACTAACTCTACTTTTTTACTCTCACTCCTTTAGAAGGCTAAATAATGTTGGGCCTGGTCTCTACTCTCTGGCATAAACCAAACTTTTTCTTTAAATAACTTCATATTTTTTGTTTGCATATGGAGAATTTCACTTTTATTGCTTTAGTCTCTATTTACTAATTAAATTAATTAGAGAGATTTCAAAAAGATGTTTTTCTCTGCTACATGTCATTACCTTTCTTCTTCAAACATTTCTTATTTGTAGAAACAATTTTGCAACTAATTTTAAAGCTATAGGCAACTAAAATAATGGTGTGCAAATATAATGTTTATCACCAAGACTATTGGTTTTCTGGAATATTATACTCAAGGGACTTCTTCCAATGTCATTTTTTCCTGCATCAATACTATAATTGAACCTAGGACTACATTCTTAAGGAAACTAAATCCTTTACTCATACCATTATGTGTAGATAAGCTTTCTACCTTGATGTGTTAGCGTATCAATCTGCCTTTTGATTCATGTCTTGGATTAATGGTCTTTTTTATTAAATAGATCCTTTGGACTTTGGAGTTATTTGAAATGTGTGACAATCTTTTTTAGGTTTTAATCTACCTCTGATGTACTTTGTAGATGGAAAAATACTTTATATTATGTTGCGGATGTTGTGATAAATATAAGTTGCTATTTAAAAAAAAAATTGTGTAAAAATTAGAGACTATTTACCATCTTTTATTTTAGTTTTTGTTATTTATGTGACCTGACCACTCATTGGTCTTTAATTTAGTCTAATTCGTAGCTGTCACTCAACCATTGAATTTTTACCTGTCATGGTTTGCAAACTATAACTTGTTTAATTATTAATAAAACTAGTTGGACAAGAATTGTTCAGTCCATTACTTTAAAACAAATTTGTTCACATGTTGTTTCAAGTTTAAGGTAAATAAGATGCTAACGTGTTTGGAACAGCATATGTGTGTCAACACGAGCTAGTTGAAACACACTATAAAACTAAAATTACCTATTGATTCACTTAAACAGAAAAAGGGACTATTCTTGTCACAAGATTAAATATTTATTTAAATAAATACCTTAAAACATAAATCAATTTAGTGGGAGGGTCAAGTAGGGTGAATAAGGTTCTTGTTTTCTATTTTTGTACACTTAAAAAAAGAAAACTATTTTGTTGCTGCCCTACACCTATATTGGTTAAAGATGGTGTTATTAACATGCTAATAAGTGTTTTTGTGTTAAAAATGCTACATTGTGGTTCCATGTGAAATTTTAGTATAAATAAAATTGACTGAGAAAATCTTTAAAAATATCTGATCTATTTGCTTGTAAGAATCTAATCCATTTGTTTCAACCATCTGATCTAAAAAAATAACAAGATTGCTAGGCCTAGGACCCAGTCAAGAGCTGTCAAGTCTTCTATGTTCTCTTGATCTTGCATTTGGTTGGCTGCAGCAGATTTTTAATTAGATTTTTCTTCTCTCAACAAAAACAGATTTGGTTGTTCTATTTTAGACCCCAGTTGATCTTGGTTTGACAATTTCAACTAATTTTGAGTTGCTGCAGTTGTTAATTTTAACAGATTTTGGTTGGTTCAATTGGTTTCTTTTCTTGGCTAATTTTAGTTGGTTGATTTGTTCGATTTTCAACTAATTTTGTTGCTCCAAAATATGTTTACAGCTAGACATTTTTTTTTGTACATTTTGATCTTTGTACTTCTTTTATTTTCACTTTTTTTTTCTTTACTTCTTCAGCTTAATAAATGACACCTTAAACTTCTTTTCTTTCATAACTACACTTGGAGAACTATTAAATTGATAAATTAACACCAGTAAAAGAAAAAACCAACTTCACACATCTCCAAGTCCTTGATCTGTCAAATAACAACCTTAATTAGAAAATTTGTTCATGACTAACCAATAGCACAATTCTTGTCCAACTTAATTCATATAGTAACTTTTTTTTAGTGAGAATAAAAGAATCGAAGAATCATGATCTTTAGGTGAGTGATTATAGAATAATGAAAGAATCCGGAATTTTATGTGAGAGTAAGAATAGAAGAATAATGAGTTTTAGATGAAAGAAGAATAGAAAAATCATGAGTTTTACATTTTTTTAATTTTTTTTTCTTTTCAATATTATTGATATTTAAATTGATTTTGCATATATTATAATGTTATTACCAATCTTTAATGATTTTGCAGAATTTGTTAAAAAAGAATTATTGTAACCAAATTTAAATATAAATGTTATAATTCAAGTTATATTAATATTTTCATTTCTATCAAAAGAAAAAACATATATAAGGGGTTAACATTAAATTTATTGGTTCATTTTTTGTGTGCAGAATTTGTCTTCACAAAACATGATTCAATTTTTCCCTAGCATAGAT